CATCATCACCATCATCATCATCCTCATCATAATCATCATCACCACCATCATCACTACCATCATCATCATCCTTATTATTATAATTATGAATAATAATGGTAGAATTCTGAGTAGATGTAGACCGTCTACATGAGAATACACTGGTAACGACACAACTTTAAAAGAGCTTGGGAGGAGACCGTTCAATATTCATTCACGAAAAGTTTAATTTTTGACAGCTAATTTCTTAGCCTTACAACACAAAATACTGAGAGTTTACCACTGCGGGTGTATACACAAATTTGTACAGTGAATGTTCATTATTGATTATCATTATTAAAGTTACTATAATAATATATTCCATTAGAAAACATGACTAATAGTACTTAATAACAATAATATTAATACTGTAATAAATAATGACAGTTTTATCATTCTTATAATACAATAATAATTCAATAAATATTACTATATTATATTATATAATACGATAATAAATCAACCAATGTATCAGTCGGTATCAATTGAATTGTTCAATGAATGAATGAATCAATCAATCATCATTACTAAGTAGCATCAATTGGACTGCCGGGCATACAGTGTCTCCCGCCATCTATTGGCAAGTGATGCCCTGTTATAGATGCCGCGTTATCTGAAGCTAGAAACGCGATTGCGGATGCAACCTCGGTGTCCTCTCCATGTCGGCTTAATGGATGTCTGCGTTTGCTGATCTCACGTACCTTCAATTTATCAAGCAAGAAAATCAAAGAACATTCGGAAATTATTTCATTTTATTTCAAAATCTACATCAAGCTTTTATCGTTCAATACAAAATGGAACATTTTATACTTCAAAATACTATTGATTAGGCCTATGTAGTGTTAAAATTAGATCTCACCTTTTCCCATTTCATGCCTTTCCTCTCAAAAGCTGGAGTGTGGATAATACCAGGACTGTCATCGGAAACAAAAAAAAAAAAGAAAAACAAAACACCAAATATAATATTTGATGGGTTCAAAACATATATTTGCTTGTCCACATCACACACTGAAATATTTTAAGCACTGACAATACACTCACAAGATACAGAGTGAAAATTGTGCCTTGTGTTGTGTCGGATCAATTTTGCCACAAAGCATAACATAACAAGCAAAGAATTTGGGTTCAATTGCGGTTGGAACGATATTTTTATACTTGCGGATCTAAACCATATAGTACAATGGTTTCGTTTATATTAGACACTGTATATAATTATATATATAAGCTCATTATACATACATACACACACACACACACCCCCCCCCCACACACACACACATATATATATATATATATATATATATATATATATATATATTATTTAATATAGAATTATTTAAAAGATCATTATCACATTCACGAGCAAATCGATAGAAACATCAGTTTGCTAAAAGCCAGGGCGTGCGCAACGAATAATTCTAATGATCATTCAATCAGTTTGCCACCAACAATCTGCAGACGGCATCGCGTCGGAGATGGAATCGTCAATCGACATTAGTCGTACAACCGTCGCACTGCGCTGTGTGTGCCCCGGTTTAAGATTAAACATAGTCAAAAGTGTAACTTACCAAACAGAATTCACTCGAACTCCATACGGTGCTAATTCTAAAGAAAATAACCAGGAGAACCATAAAGATAATAAAGCATAATGACAGCTGATGATGATGATGATGATGATGTTAAAGAAGTTGACGATGACAATGGTAATGATAATAACAATAATTGTATTATAGAAATTACGTCATTAACTACAGTAATACTACTACCACAACCACTACTAGTTAGATTTACGTAAAGGGCCCTATATAGGTAAAACTTGCTTACCAACAGCGGTGTTTGTTGTTAGCTGATCTACCATGTATCTTGACATACTGTAAAAAGTATTACAGCTCTGAAAAATGAAGAAATATCAGCAAGTATGTGAGAGAGAATTCTGCGAATATCAATTTAACGTTTAATAATAATAATAATAAATTTATTCTTATATAGCGCAGAATGCTGGAAACCTCTATGCGCTTTAAATTAAAAGCAAAAGCCGGATCAAAATTAACGGAAAAGAAGATTACAACTTTAAAACATTGTCTTTTATGTATTTACTTTACCTAGCTAAAGCCGTGAATCCACACCCATCTCAGCCCCACTATGGTTGGGGCTGAAGCGCGAAAATTTGGGTAAATTGTACATCTAGATGGCCAGAAATGATACTCTATACACAATGTTTATCCTCATCACATCACAAATTTCTCATGATCGTTTATCAGCGATTTTCTACAATCAGAGATCTCAATAATCTGTGTGATGCACCATTGAAAATAAAACTTTAAAACATTGTCTTTGATGTATTTACTTTACTATACCTCCTTTAAGCCGTGAGTCTATGCGAAAATTTGGGTAAATAGTAAATCTATACTGGCCAGAAATGACACTTATAGTAAAATTCATCATCACCTCATCATTCGTCAAAATTAAGTGCCAACAAATTAAATTGCCGCCTAAAAGTCAGGGGACCAACCTCCTTAAAAATATGTGGGGGTGGGGAACATGTCTCCCCGTCCCCCATGATTTTCGCCCATAGATGTACGCGTGTTCCTGACCTTGTTCTGATTGCAATTTCGAAAAGGTCCATTAGCAAGTATTATGTAGGCAATCATAAACGGTACTGCCGGTTGTCCACCCCATCTCATTACCTAACCATATCTCTTATGACGCAAAGGAATAACATTTTTGAAATCAGCATTTTTTTTTTTACATGTGATGCCTCTCTTTCTACCCAGCTTCAAATCTTTGCAAGCTCCTACCCCTAATGAGAGTGTGCCCCAAGTAACGCCCAAGTCAGTATGCCCACCTCGTATCACAGAGTAAGTTCTATCTACTATGAGTCTAGTGATCCCTAACTTACCGGCACTTTGCTTACGACGCTTGAAACATTCACAATAGTTCCTGGAAACCAAACATATTTGATAAATATTAATAACAAATAATAATAATAATAATAATAATAATAATAATAATAATAATAATAATAATAATAATAATAATGATGATAATAATAACAACTAGACTTACTATGTCTGTTTGAACAACAGAACATGGTCAAAATATCTTTATTGGCAACCACAGAACCAGAGAGAAAAGAATAAGAAAACCACACTTAAAAAAAAACCAACGAAAACCAAAATCACTGCGACGCACCTAAGTTGTATTTTGAGCACCGTTATTGCACTTAAAATTAAAATTTATTTAATTATTTTAATTTATCTCGCGCCTGCTGAAAATGGCAGCGTCGCCACCAAATCATCCCAGTTTAGCTGAGTATCAGCTGCAAAGGGATTATCAAAACTAAAGACTAAAGACATTATTAGTGATACTTGAACTATGGCTGCAATGGTAATAGCGAGGTACAACATGACCCATAACCATTGCGCGCTATATGGGCTGACCTTGAATAGGAC